AATAGGTAATGGGTTTTATTTTGGCAACACTGCAACATTTTTAAAGCATGTGACTTTTGGGAATGTAAAGTTGTATCACTAAGGGAGGCATCAAATAGACACATTTTTACTGAATGCAACAATTAAATGCATTCCTTTAGCACAGGAATTGTTGTTCTGTTCTATTTCTGAATCTAAACAAAGATATTAATTCATGGCTTTTCAGCTAAACACAGCTGGCCAGATCTTCTTGTAACTTAGACATATCTGAGCTGTACTCTGCTCTGTCTGTTACCAGGCTGGAATACTAAAGCGCAGTGAAAGGACCATTCATAATACTGCCAGGTGGATAGCAAATATGATGGGTAAAGTATGTTGGAGGTGCAGAAGTTTCTTTGCCATGTCACAGCAGGCTATGTGTGAAAAAAAGGAAAAGAACTACTGCATGAAACTAAGCAGCCAGGATAATTGCAAAATAGCAGTCTGATATTGCTAGGATGTCTGCTTTAAAATACGCTATTAGTAGAGAGCACTGCCTTTTCAAGACTCAGTACAATCTCCTGATGAGGTAAAACATAATGCAAAGCTGGTTAGGACATATTAGTATCGAGTAATTTATTACATGTTTAGTAGTTCATTATTTCCCATCAGTTTTACTACAGATAATGTTTCATTCCCCTGGGAATCTGACTGCGTAAATAACGTGCATATGTTCATGTTGGTATTTTTTATTGACATACACTATCTAACAAGCTCTTTGTCACATATTGAATCTCATTTTCTCTTGAATATCATAAAAATTAGTGTAGTGAATTCTGAAATATTAACCAAACCCCACAATATAGATGAGTGAGACCATGACAGGACAATAAACAAACTTTCTTCCTACTGGTAATTTTAAAATTGCATTATCCTGTATATGCAAACAAAACATTTAATATATTTTTAACAATACTGCAACAGAATAATGCAGAAGTTTTGAGAAAATTAGTCAAATATACCAGCTTTTGATACCTTATTCTAGTTTCCAAACTAAAGCCTTGGAACAGTACTGACATGTCTAAAAATCTCACTGCAAAGATTATGGATTTGGCAAATACTATAGGAAAAGCATGAAACTAGTAAGGGCTAAAAAGAAAATACAAGAAAAGATATTTTAGATCATATAATGACATACACTATGGCAGCAAAATATTATTTTACAAAACAAAGTTACTGAGAATGGGTAGTCATTCCCTATAAAGACAACTTTAACCATACTGTGGCCAAATGATTCTTAGCTGTAATCAACCAAAAGGAATAAAATCAATTTATTCAGTTTATTTCAAATATAACTGAATTTTTCTCAAGATATCAGTATCAGCCCAAGAGTTTTATTCTAAGTGCCTAAACTTTGTAGTTTCTTTTTTGTCGAAATGTTAGAAAACTTCTTGGCAATTAACCATGTTGAACCTTGGCTGTGGTCTTATTTGGACTAACAAAAACTTATTTACTGAAATAAAACCTTCTCTTCAAGTCTCTGTCCAGTTTAGTCTCAAAAAAAAAAAATTATAGCAGTGTAAATAGTTCAGTATTATTAGATTAGTTTTAGGAATTTAGGAACTGACTATGCCTGTTAAAAGAAACATGCATGCTTATCTATGTTACTAGCAAAATGTATTCCAGTACTTTGCCAAATAAACTTTATCTGCATTTGGGGAAAAAATAATCTGATTGCCCCAAAATCTTTATAGAATCTTGACTGAATGCTACTTATCCACATTTTGGAAAAGCAACTGGGTATTTCAGCAGCCTGATGGAAACACATAAATGAATCTATTGCAGTTCTGCTTTTCTAGATTTGCCTTATGCAACTCAAACTATAGTGAAGAACAACTAACTGCAACCTGAAAACAATTCTTAACTCTATGTCTTGGAGTCCATCTTTAAGTCCATCTTTAAGTCCATCTAAGACAACTTAGAATTATACCAATTGCAATGATATTGTATCACAAAATGCTCTGCTGTATGAAATTGTGAAGAAACAGATAAATCTCAGGTGGCTCTAACAAAGGAACTGACCCAGTGCCTAGAGATCCTAACACCTCTCCAAGGGATGAGAGTAATTCATTATTTGTTCAGCAGTAATTCTTATCCTGTGACAGGGAAACAAGATGGGATAAGTAAGAAGATCTCTTTAACACAGAAGACTCATTTTAAGCTGAGATTGCATGAACTTGGATATCCATTTGTGAAACAATATGAATAAAGAATGAATACAGAAACATGTACATTGGAAGGCAATTTATGACAGGATCTATTTGATGATGTGGAAAAGTGAAGAAAATGTGCAAGAACAGGCTGTAAGTATTGTGACATCCCCATAAAAATGAGAAAAAATGCTCAGCACTAAGAGTTTTCAAATACACACATGTGCTAAGAAATAAGTATTTTTAAATATCCTTTCTGAATTTTCTTCCCATCAGCTAGAATAGAACAGGGAATGGATACTTCAATTCTATGTGTCATAATATTATAGAAGTACTGAATCTACATGACTCATTCTTTATCATGACAATCCTGCATAAGATAAGTTATATGGATCTTTGATAAAACCCTACACACTGCACTATTCAGCAAATAATCTACATAAACAATACATGTTTCAAGAAGAAATCACTTGGAATTTACTTGGAAATGTGGCCCATTTTATTTTAACTGAAAAAGCATTCGTTATACAGTGCAAACAGTTCTTTGGTAAATTTACTGATTAAAACAAAAACAACAAAGACTTTGTTTTAGGTAACATTAAAAAAGAAAATAAATATGTAAAATTTGCAACATATTACAGCAATATTCTCACAGTGGATACTGAGGAAATGGTCATCTAGCCATTGGCCACTGTTTCAGAAATGTTAAAATTAACGCTGATTCTGCAGACACTGCAATAAAACAGAATTAGTACAATCCATGACTGATTACATTTTAAACTGTGGATAAAGACCTGTTTTTCCTGAATGGTTTATAGTCAGACGGATGGCAGAATAAAACTCAATGTTACAGTTGTTTAAGCATATCCAGACTCCTAAGCCCATTTTATATACCATATGAATAAACTGTGAACAACAAAGAAAACCTCCCACTTTACTCTGGAGGCTGGAGAAAAGGAACAATCAGATATAAGGTATTATTTTATAATGTATAAATGGAAACTCTCTTCTCCTATAAGCGGAAACCTTGAGAAAGTTTATTTAATAAAAAACTGGCATAAAAGAGTGCAAGTAGTAACCAGCTGGATGTATCACTGCCTTATTTAACTGTTTAGACAGTTAAATTATATTTGGTTTAGCTCCGCAATCCTTCCTCTTTGAGGAATTCCTGCTATAGGTCAATGGGAGTTCCATCTGAGTTGGAATTACAGGACGAGACATGTGGTTTGGACTCTCAGCAAAAGTCAACAAAATACCAGAGTATCAAAGAAATACAGGAATGACAACCTCTAGGAACCACATGATACTCAAACATGCTCGCCACACACAATTTCTAAAAGTATTAACACAGAAAATTACATAAGTCAAAACATCGTATATAAAATCAATTAAAATAATCTTAAAAATATAAATTGTAGCTCCATGTGTACCACACACCTTTAACACACCACTCACATGTACATATTGCTCCTGCCATAGCATGAAAGAAGTTTCTGTAGTAAGCTTTAATGATACACCAAAGTTTGAACATGTGTCATGGTATCAGGTTATCAAATTAGAAATTATTAATGTTAGTAATCAGAGAAATTATGTGCCCAATTATTATAATGGAACTCATACTGCTGTGCTAGGTTAGTTATTAGACAGATATTTGATCTACCATGCAAAAATTAAGTATTCAGTCTGTTTACATAATTCAAATGTTTAAGATGAGAATGCTTAATTTTGTACAATTTCTTTGATACCCAAATCTCTGTTCCCCAAAATCTGAACAATAAAATCGGAAGTCAGTGAACTATATCACTAAAGAAGAGCTCTGGTTCTAGTTAGGCCTAACTTAGGACTTAAGGACAGGGCCATAAATTCTAACATACTAAGTGTTCAGGGATAGAATCAATTCCGAATAAACACAAAAAAGCCATAAAATGAGGTATGATAGTTGTCCTTCACTGAATATAATATATAATTCCTGGTCAAAAATATGTAGTTTGCATTCTAAATTGTATTCTAAATGTCACAACTTTGATATGCTAGCATAGATGTATACTCTAAAACATTATTATCAGTGGGAAATAAAGTCCATTGGCAGACCCTTTTTAACATGAATAATAAAAATATTGAGGTAAAAATATATATGCATTAGATGAAACTGGGAAAAAAAAAGATTAAAAAAAAAAAATCAATCAAATACCTTGTCAGAAAAAGTAGTCAATCCACAATTAATCATGATACTTGATTTTGATTGTTCTTTCTTTCAACAAGCAATGCCACAATATAATCAGGAACATATGTCTATTGACAGTATGCACAATGCATCAGTAGGAATCATTGTATACAACATGGCATGTGATATCTTTTTCACATTTTCAAAATGGGGCCATACAAATGAATGAGCTGATCTGAGTTCAAAAGAAGAATGTTTTAAAATTGGAGTGGATGGTCATGCTACAATGACATAGCTGAAAAAAAAAAATAGTTGCTAAGCAATTACATATGTTTTGGCAAAAAAGATTATGTTCATTTTAGATCAAATGTGACTCTGTCATGTATGTTTTCCCAGAACAAGGAACACAGTTAATTGCATCTGTAATACACACTCAATTCCTTTCTGTATCCTCTAATTACATTTATTTATACTTCCTTACTGATTCTAGCTTTTTTGTTTGAAAATTTTGATTAATTTTGCTGCTTGTATAAATGAAAGGATGTTGAAAGGTGTCATGTAGTTGGTTTTTTTTATTTCCTTGCTGGTCTGGACACAGAAACATTAGTGTGACTCGACAATTTCCATACATAGGTATTTGCAAAAACTAGCCCTCTGTCGCATTACTTTGGGCACAGTGACCTTATGTTTTCCTTTTCCCTGCATTTGCTAAATAATAATAAAGAGCTAAACATCAGACTGATACTGAAAAGGGATAGTAAACTTTTAATGTTGTTAATTAAAGATAGGAAACAAAATGTTCGTTTTAGAGTAAGTCTTAAACCCAGTCATTTTGGGTACATAAAACTACCTGACAGTGTTCTTTTAAAGTAGCACCAGTTTGTCTGACCTGAGAAGTTTAACACACAATTAACTTTGACCTGTTTGCTCATTTCCCTTTTGTTAATTTTTGCATTGTGATTACCTTCATGGGCAGAAAATAAAATGATACATTATGTTATACTGTTACAGCACCATTAGAATATCGTAGATCTTGATTTCTTGCTGTTGTTAAGACTGTAGTTACCTGTTCTTGCCATCAGCAGGCATTGATATGATTTGAGGAGTATGCACCCTAAATTCTTAAAAAAGCAGACTTATGGCTTCTTTTTATTAATATTTTGTTTTAAGCAGACTGGACAGCAATCTCCTTTAACCTTCACAGGTGCTTTGCAGTCAGCTGGCGGGCATGATTCTACAAAACAGGTTATCTGACCAACCTGTGTCAGGGAAAGGTAACAAAACCAGAACATACTTAGCTACATGTTCCAAACAAGAGATACATTTTTCATATTATTGAAGAACATGTTCTCATTCATCCTCTCTAAGATCTTGGGTAGTATGATTAACTCCATATAGATTATTTCAGCATAAACTTACATTGAGGAAGCTCTCTGTATTACACCATCTTTCATGGAGCAGTATACCGTTTTAGCTAACATCCAGGCATAAAACTGGGATTCCAAGTACTGACATATTTCTGTTACTACTTTTCTTAGAAAGTTTTACCATGATAAGAAAAAATTATAATCTAGCACTAAGTTAGATGAGGTTTTATTGATTTTTATGCATTTTAGTGGACTTTTTCAGGAAGTCTCGCACTTTGCAGTTAATTTTGCCAGTACAACTATGCATAAATGAAAATGGAAATACAACCCAAGTATATAAAGGCTGGATTGCAAACCAGTGTCAAGGACAGGGATATCTGAACAATATAATTTTTTTGCACCAAATAACTGAAGATCCATAAGAAAACTAATTGGCAACTATTACTCAAATTATTAAGCACAAAACTGGAACTGCTGTTTTAGAAGAAAAAACCTATTATAATTTCTATCTCAAATTGGATTTCCACATACTTACTTTGCACTCACACACAGTGCAAGGGTCCCTTTTCCAGGTTTCATTGCTGGAATATGATTTACCCTTTTCATCAGTGCAATCAGTTTTACTGAGGTGTGATTCAAGTTTTTTTATCTGAAAATATTAAAAAGTTAGTAACTGAATCAAAGAAAGTTTTTTATTTGTGCAATGTATTCTGTCTTTTCTCTTATGCTTCACAATCCGTGATAAATACCTATCTGGGTTTTTCTTCTCACTACTTGGTTTTCATAATGCTAAAAGAATCAGATAATATGTATGGAAACAGCTTTTCAAAAGAAAACTAGCAGAAGATATATCTTTCCTATCATTGGAATGTACAATTAGAGCATACATAGAGAAGCAAACTGTATATGACATATAGAGATAGACAAATCTAAACTTTCAAAGATGTCTAAATGAAAATGAGATCAAAAAAATTAAAAAAAAATACCCCAAAAAAACCCCAAAAAACCCCACGACCCAACCAAACCCCCACCTTAATTATAAATGTTTGTTTGGATTTTTTACGATCTCTATTTTTCCTTAAGGATGAAAAAAAGAGGAGTTTTATGATTAGTTTATTTTGCTGATTGTGTGCTTACTGGAGACAGTAATTAGGAAGACACAATTTTTAACAATCCCTGTGTTTTTCACATCCCAAAAAGACAGAAAAACTGACTGAAAGGTAGTACATCTTAACCTAGTATTTCCACTATCAAAAGAGGAGCACTGAAGATGAGTACAATAATGATTAAATACCACCATCAAAGATGGAATCAAGTCACTGTGCAAATAAATACATGATTCATATCTATAAATGACATGAAAAAGCTGCTCCAGAGGAACTTTCTTATTGTAGGCAAACATTGTGGCCTACTTTGGGTTTGTCTGTCTTGTACCTATGGTAGATATTTTAAAACTGAATTCTGCTATGGTGAGTTATTCTAAATAAAGAGCTTCTTTGTGCCACACAGTAAAGTGATATAGATCTTAACTATCTTTACAACTGTAGTCTGGCATATTACTTCTTACGAAGTCTACATTTTAATCATAGTTTTACACAGATTCTATGTATTTCAGATAGGAAGAAGATATTTTATTAACTCTAGAGATGAATTTTTAGAGAAAGACTGATTCCATGTTTAGCATACAATGATTACACAAGACTCCAGAGGGTCTAATTGTGGAATGTTTCAGTATGATTTCAGAATAACATAGAAATAAAGAATAATAACACACCATATTCTGTGTTGTGTTTTGTTTGAGATATTATGTGGTGGGTTTTGGCTGCAGTGGATGAATACACATGAAAAACATAAAAGGAGTGATGTTAGGAAAACATTATAAATTAAATCTACAATTAGTAAATATTCATTATAGCACCTTACCTGGTTTCTGAGGCTCGAGATAGTTTTTTGCATTTCCAAAACAAATTCTTTGAAGTCATTCACTGCAGGCATGTTTGTGTTTTCATTAGATGCTGATGTGGCATTACGAAAATATTTACTCTGTTTCACAGAACTGCAACAAACGAATGCCAAGTCAGGATATCCATTTAACTCATTTTTATTTGGCTAGATGTTTTAGAACACTTACCAAAAATGTAAATGAAAAGCAACTAACACATGTTGGAACTGTATAAAACACAACAGGCATGAGACCCACTGGGCTGAAGACAGTCTAAGGTCAGGTGAGCTGTGGATTACTGTTAATATCACTAGTAAGAGGCAATTCCTTCTACTTAGAAGACATGTATTTCATGCAGGAGGAGACACAAAGTTGTCATCAGTGACACTCTAGAGCATCACCTTAAATTCACTGGGAAACATCTTGATATTAAATATTAAAGCAGACAGAAGTGAAAGGCTTAAAAATAATGTTACTTTCAAACATGAAATTCCCATTTTGCATTCAGATTCATCGTTTCTCCCCCATATGCTCATTAGAAAAATGTGTATTTAAAGAAATATGACAAATGAAAAAAGTTATTTTTCATAAATAAATTAGAAGCATATGTGTGCATATTCCTGTGTCCCATTTTGGCTGACATTTGAAATCAATACTGATTATCATACACAAAATTCAGTCTTTTGCCTATAGCACTTTCCAGCTGATTTTTGGCAAGAGATGTACACCACTAAATTGTGTTAATTAAATCTGTTAATAGGAAACAGCAAAGGAACTGTCCATAACTAATAATATATTACTTGGCACCGCTTAAGAAAACATGTATTCAAAACCATGTCTAACACTAATTATTAAGTCACTTATGTGAAGTTCCTTGAATCAATACAAGCATTCCTACTTTGTTAGCATGTCTTCTCCAGAGCTAATGGATACTCAAAGAATGAATTGGCAAAGAATTCCTCTATCATATAACACAGCTCATGATTTATAATCTTTCTGCATAAATTAAAACAGTATTTATTGGCAGGTGTTCTAGCTAGTTTCCCATAGTTTTTCATTTAAGCTAAAGAAAAAGAACTCCAAAAAACTTAACATGCCAAAATTCAAGTAAACCAGCTGCTGTTGTATAACAAAAAGTTTAACCTTCCCCACCTGCTCATGTTATTGAAAATGAGAAGTGGAGAGGGAGGGGGGAAGGAATCATTGCACCATGAATGCAATTTAAGTATAGCACCGAGCATGAGAACTGATAAGAATGTTAAGAATGTTAAAGGGTTGAGGTTGCTTTAGCTTTATTTATACTATAAAGTACCATAAATTTACTATTTTGAAGTCCTAATTAGCATTTGGATTATTATAAATTTTTGATCTTAAATTCTGAAACACAGTCAAATGACCAGTTAATAAAAACAAGCTACTTTTCAAATATAAGCACTTATATTTTTCTTGCTTCCATTTTTATTTAATTTAACCCTCCTACAGTTTTAAAATTATGGGACTAGCATCTTTAAAAGTGAATTTTTGTTTTGTAAATTTAAAAACTTCTAACAGTTCAGTTGCAAACACAGAGAAAACATTCTTCTTCAAGAGTTACTTCAAAGGAACTTTTCTTATCTTATTGTCTATAACTAAGCTTATACTTAGCTGCTGTCTTCCCTTGTCCAAAATCCTAATCACCTAAAAGGCCCTGTTACTTCAGGACAGTTTGCTATCAATTAAGTGAAATATAATGATGGCATTTCTTCAGTGCTATAAAATCCACATGAGCATTTGAAACTGCTGAAATAAATTTACCTGTCTACATATCTGTCTAGTTGCTTTCCTGGCCAGAGGGAAGAGTCTGCCTGGCCATCTCAAGTCAAGCAGATAATTTTATTTGCTAGAAGAACAGATGCTATATGGAAAAAGACATAATTCAAGACTCCTAAATTTGCTCATTATGAAGGATCTTCACAAGAAATGTTTGCAGAACACATTTCATTTCACTAAATTCATAAGTTTTTGATTCCCTGGAAATTGCAGGGAGCCTGTGTACTTTATTTGTGACTGACATTGCTAGAGTACTTTGAGGTTTATTGAGTTATAAACAACATTGTCTGTAGGCCTACTGCTCTCCATCCAGCTCTATTTTGATACTAGAAACAATCCCTACCATTACCATAAAGTTTTGTGTCAGCATTATGAACACTTGGTTTCCTCCTATTTCTACAGGAGGACCTAGCAGCTCCAAGAAGTGAAGGAAATAATTTAATTTGGTTACTGCAGCATAGTGGGAATGCGAGATTCCAAATCCCCCAAATTATACTTCATTACTGAGTTTTTTTATGAAAAGCACAGGAAGAAAAAAAGCACTATACTGTGTTACTCACAAAGGGTCTTACAGAAATTTGAGCTTGAAAAAAAAAAGGTGGTTTGCTGTTAGCAGATATGCAGAAATGTAAAAATGAAATACATCAATAAAACTTGAGAAAGCACACACTGGAAAAGAATGGTATGCACTTACGAAGAAATCCCTCAGTTTCCTTCCATTTTGAAAACAAAAGTTTCATTCTTCTTAAAAAAAAAAAAACGAAAATAAATCTCACCTTACTGTTTTGGACATTCTCATTTTCTTCAAGGGCTTGTCCTCTTGAAAGCTATAATCAAGAGAACGTCTTCCCCGAAAATGATATGAAAATGCATTAAACTGTCCTCTAGTTCTACAGTCTGAAATTAAATAAGAAATTACACATTTTAAACTACAGTATAATTCAGTAGTTATTATATTCATATGGTTTTACAGTGTCTTCTGAATTGGCTAAAGCAATTATAGAATCATAGAATAGTTAGGGT